TCTTTATTATAGAAGTGACGTGTACCTGGTTCTAAAAACTTCAAACCATTAGTAAAAACACGATAATGTAAAAACTAAAATTTTCACATATCCCCATATATTCCTCAAAAGTAATCATTACAAATAGCTTTGCCTTTCAACTTTTATGTTCAAGTTTTACAGTACCTCATTTATTCATCAAATGCTTTTAGGCACCTATCATGCAAAGTACCTATCTAACCTCTGTTCTAGTGAACTAACAGTGAACAGAACAATGCAATCCCGTCTCATTGATCTTGCATGACAATGTGGGAGTTGGAGTTGATAGTGAGAGGAATAATTCACAAAATAAATACGCAAGTAGGTAATACAGTAGATGACGTAAGTACTCAGGAAAAAAAAAGAGGAAATAGAAAATGTCATGGAGGGAGGGCTGTAAGCTTGCACAGGATGCCTTGGAGAAGTCTTCACTGAGAAGCAGAGATATTTGAGCAAAAACCTGAGGAGAGACCATGAGCCATGACAACCTGTGAAGGAAAAGTGTCAGGCAACGGGAACAGTGTGTGCCTCCTTCTAGGACAAAGAGTGAGGGGCCAGTATGCTGCAGTGAAGTAAGCAAGGAAGAGAATCCTAGAGGATAGGTCAAAGAGGTAATGAGCGCAGATACAGATATCTCACCGGTATCGGAGTGGGAAGTCTCTGGAGGACTTGTGCAGAGGAGCGACACAATCTAACATATCAGTCCCCGAGCCCAGGGCACTCTTTTGCGAACCTGTGGACGCAAGATGGAGACTGATGAAGAGGACCCTTGATATAGAAGAAAATCCGATAAACTCTGCTGGATACCGAGAAAGTGTCTCAAGGAGGATGGAAACTGGATCAAGTGGTTTTGGGGGTCAGGAGGATAAGGACTGAGAACTTGTTGCAGCGGTATCTGGAGGTCATCGGTAGTGCTGACAGGGTCTGCTTCCATGTAATTGTGAGCATGAAAACCCGATGGGTGTGGATTCCAGGGCGACTGAGAGAAAGGAACTGAAGTACGTGTAGAATAGAGATAGAATCACACCCCACAACCCACTTCATTATTAAGCTTTTAGCAGAATAACCAATATATAAACACAGTCTTACTTTTACAGTCAGAAAACAATAGTTTGTTTTGACAACTACCTTCGATTTCAGAGGTTACCATTATTCTGTTATATATCTTTTTATTTTTTTCTCGGTACCAGGAATCAAACTCAGGTCCTTGCACTTGCAAGGCAGGCACGTGCCACTGAGCTAAATCCCTGGCCCTCTGTTATATATCTTCCAAATATTTTTCTAATTTTTTACATTCATTTAGAAGTATAGACAGTTTAGCCCTTTCCGTTTTTTTCTTCTTGTTTATATGAATGGTGTCACACTGAATATGTTGTTTCATTTGCTTTTTCACTTAATACTATCCTTTAGAAATTTTTCTAAGTCAGTGAATGCAGAATTTTCTCTTTGTTACTAATTGTTTTATAATAGTATGTAATATAGCCCTGCAATTATTTATTTAAAGGTCCTCTAACTGACATGGAAACTCATTTGCAGATTTTTACTTGCACAATGTTTCACTGTGTCTCTTCCTTTTTGTGTATACTTGCAAGTGTTTCTCTAAAATAGATTTCAAGAAAGTGTCATAGTAGAGTAAAAGGTTATATATTTTGATCATTGCCTTCCTAAAAAGTTGATCCAATGCATGCTTCCACTAAGAGTTGTTGAGACCACTCTTTTCCTGTCCTTCCCAATATTTGAGATTGTCACTTTTTAAAATTTTCGACAGTCTGGGAAATAGAAACTCTACTGCATCTTATTATTTTATATAATTATTATGGTTAGGGTTCGTAAACTAAGAACTGTAGAGAAAATTTCAATCTTCTTAGAGACTAACTGGTTGTGATCAAAATGATAGAAATATGATTAAGGTCTCAGATGAAAAGATGATGAGGTCTCAAGATAAAAATAAGGAATGTGTTGTTGGACAATGGAGAAAAAGTCCCCTTGTTATAAAGTGGCAAAGAACTTTGCTAAATTATGCTCTTGTCCTGGTGTTCTGTGGAGAGTAGCACTTGTGAAGAATAAAATTGGGTATTTGGTTTAAGAAATCTATAAACAGGGCTAGGGATTTAACAGGACAGGTGTGGAGCCATGCCTGCCTCATAACCACAAGGTCCTGAGTTTGATTCCCTGTACAAAAAAAGAAAGAAAGTAAAAAAAGAAGGGAAGAAAGGAAGGAAGGAATCTATAAACACTAAGGAGCTGAGGCAGGAGGATCACCACAAGTTTGGGGCCAGTCTGGGTTACATAGTGAGTTCAAGACTGGCTTGAATGACATAGCAATACCCTGTCTCAAAAAACAAAAACAAAACAAGACAAAAAGAGATCTATAAACAGTGCAGAGGTATAGTTTGGCTTCTTTTGAGTGCTTATTCTACAGTGTGAAAAGAGAGGAATGACTTAGAATTGTAAAGAAGAGGCAAACTTTAAAATTAGTGAAAATTCTCATTCTATTCATTTTGGAAAAAATGAGAAAGTTTGTTCAAGAAAGAACAAGAAGTGTGTGGCTAAATTTGACTAGGAGAGTAGTTTGGAAGGGCCATCTCCACCAAGCTGTCCATTCAACAATAAGTGGGGAGCTTAAATAGTTATCTCACCACAGACCAAGACCTACTGTCCAAGTCCATTGAATAACCCAAAAGGCAGTTTAGAGATCATCAGGGCTGCACCCCCCAGTACAGGCCCTGAGTACAGGGCTGAGGAGCAGAATAATTCCAAGACCCTTCTCTCCACATTCTGCTGCCTTGTTCCTTGGCTGCCGGGGTCAAGCTACAGCAGGCCCAGGTCAGTGCAGCCATGATGGCTGTCCTCTGGAAAGTGCGGTGGCAAACCTCATCCTCTTGGTGCTGTCTCCACCAGCTTACAGAGTCCACAGGCAATGAGGGCTTGTCTCAAAGGTAGGAACCACCTAGAACCTCAGCTTCATCATTCTAATAGAGAACCGCCTTGGGGAAAGGCCAGCACCCAAGCGAGCCTGAGAAGGGAGAACTCTTCCTCAGCGGGCCTAGAAGGCAGAACAGGCAGCCGAAGAGGACTGTGCTTTACCCTTACGGGTTTCAGTCTTCCTTAGGACCTGTTACCTCACTCTCTTCTGTTTCTCCCTGTGGATGAAATACCTTTCTTCTCTTTGTCTTACCATGTGATCAAAATATACAGAGAATGTTTAAAATTTTTTAAACTGATGACAGTAAAAGACATATTGCCACTAATGCCCCTTGCTTCAGACGCACTTACCCCGTTCTCACTGCGACTTTATCAAGCTGTTCTGGAAGTCCTCTTTCGTGAGTGTCTGTACGAGATGTGATAAAAAAGAAAAATACAGTCTGGGGAAAAAATGAAAACCAAGGTATATTATGTAAAGGTACAATTTTCCAATATCGAATGTCATTATATTGTATCCCTAAAATGTACCGATAAAATTAATTTTTACAATGCAGAGAATACTGCTCCCCAATGCCACCTAACAAAAAGGCAGGCTTGTAAAATATTATGGTGTGCCTTCATCTGCCTTATTCTCTGGGTCTGGCACCAAGCAACTTCTGGCTCTTCCCAAAGTGAAAATGACCGTGAAAGGTAAACATTTTAAATCTATTCAGGACGCTGAAGCAGCCACAGCAGCGCAACTAAAGACAATCACCCATGAAGATCTTCAGGCCTGCATCAGAAAGTAGAAAGAACGATGGCATAACTGCGTTCAAAGCGAGAGCAGGAATTTTGAGGGGGATTAATGCAATAATAATAAATAATAATAATTTTATAAAATTCCAAATACCATATTTTTCAGTCATACTCGGTACATGTTTGATTACACGGGTGAATAGCTAGAGCATAATTTGCCTCAATATGAATCGTACCTGGAACCTCACCCATATTTTATTGGGATAATGTAGATAAGTCTTTGATCTAGAACTTCAGAGTTGATGCTGGAAGGAGTTACGACTCTTAGGGTATTGGGATAGAGTGAAAGTACTTGGTGTGTCAGAAGGGTACGATTATGAGGCCGGGGAAGGAATGCTATAGGCTGACTGTGTTTGCCAAAAGTCATGTTAAGAAATCTAATCACAAATGTGATGGTATTTGGAAGTGGTGCCTTTGGGAGGTTCACTGTCTTTTACTGGAAGCCCCATGGCCCAGTACCCTCCTACCTGAAAAACTTTGTATAGGTGAGGGACCCAAAGTAAACAGATGGTATTTAAATGAAGCAGAACACAAGAGGGCATGCCAAGCATGATTATAAATGAAATATTCGCCCATGTAGTCTTATAGGGCTAGAAAGGAATAGGTAAACGTAATACGTAGGTCTTTGGTACTTATTGTTGACACATATTGTTTGGAAAAAGACAAAAAAAAAAACCCTTAAAAGATAAACATAATATTCCAAGAGACAGACTTTATTTTATGTTCAGTTTACTTTGTCAGGATTGATGATAAGAATACACTTTTTTTTTAAAGGGAAGAAAATATTCTCTTCAGTCAAGGAAGCTAAATCTGAATGTCTGGCTTCTAAGCTAAGAGGTAAATGGATGGTTGGTGTCAGCCGTTTTGCTGGCAAAAGAAAATTCTTGTGGAGTAGAAGGTGGTGAAAATGAAGGGTTCAGGGTGTTTAAACTGTGTGCATATGAGTGTGTGTACGTGTGTTGGTTGTGTGTGTGTGTGTGTGGGTGTGTGACAGGCTAGGAGGATGGGGAGGGGGTCTCCAACCTAGAAAAAGAATGGAATACATTGTACAAGATTTTTAACTTTCCTTCTAAATGTATCCTTTCTCTTCAGAAAAATGGGTAATTAATCCAGAAGAGACCAAACTAAGCATTTTATGTGAGTTGGAGGTAAGAAATGTTTATCATGCCAAATTAGCACATTTTTCTCATGGGGAAAAGGCTTATTTAACACTTGTTTTCTTTCTCTTTTTCTTTTTTTAAAACTCAGTTTAAAGAAGACTTCATAATGCTGTTTGAGCCTTCCCTAAGAACACTACCCAGTGTTGGGCCACCCCCCATTCTGGCATACAGACAAGAGCAAGCCAATTTAGACATTAACTTCAAGGTGATTTCAACTCATATTTTTATTTTTATTGTGAAACGACATAAAATACCAGAAAGTGAAAATCGTGAACATATTTTTTAAAAGGCAAAGTGTTGCCAACTGTAATGGCACACACCTGTAATCCCAGCACTTGGGAGGCTGAAGCAGGAAGATAGCTGAGTTTAAGGCCAGCCTGGGTTACGTAGTAAGTTCAAGGCCAGTCTGGACTGCATAGCAAGACCCTGTCTCAAATCAAAAGTCAAAGTCCTCATGAACTTAGAATAGGCGTTAGGATGACTGTGTTTATTCCCAAGGATGCCAAATGGTTTAAAATGAAAGAAATTTACTGTTCTTTGTTGGAGGATAGAAGTTTGAGATCAAGATTTGGGTAAGACCAACACTATAGGGGAGAATCCTAGCAGCTTTGGTGGTGGGTGAACGTCTAGGTATTCTTTGGTTCATAGCTGCTTGACTCCAGTCTCCACTTCAGTTGTCGCTGTCTTTTCTCTGATTCTCTGGGTCCAGATGTCCTTATTTTCTAAGACCTCAGTCATACTAGATTAACAAGTGCAAGTGGTTGTATCTAACATGAATCTTCATAATTCAGTATGTCGTGTGTCGAGCAGGCTACACGGACAAGAAGGGCTCATTTTAGAAGAGTTCTGTTACTGGACATGAGAGATTGGAGACTGTATGGCTTGTATCTAGATCTCCCGCCCTCCCCAAAGCCTAATGCAGTCATGTGAGGAAGCTTGAGGCGGCTGGATCTAGAGTGTGTGGTGCTGGGATCAAGGCTGTGTGATCACTAAATCAGTCCACTGATTGGTTTGGCACAGTTCTGGCTAGGATGAAGGGTGTGAGTGCTACACCTGCCCTAGGGCGGGTAGCCTGCATAAAATATAAGGGACAGAAAGGGCACTAATGTGCTCTCACCTGCCTGCTTGCTGTGCACTATTTCTCCTCTGTGATTCCCTTCTGCCAGGCTCCCCTTGGAGCCAGCTGACTATGGACTGAAACCTCTACAAGCTGTGAGCCAAACGACCCTGTCCTCCTTCAACTTTTCATGTCAGGTATTTTGTCTTAGCAATGAGGAAAGGTACCCAAGTGAGGGCCAACTGTTCTATAGGAAATGGAGTCCTAAGAAATTCAGGACAGAATTCGGGGTTTAGCGAGTCATGATAATATTCCAGACTGTATGTGAATAAATGTAAATTTTTGTACATTGTTGTACATGAAAAACATAAGTCAGCCCCTGAAAATAAGTCCTATTGTGTCTGTTGAAGTAAAAATGTATATAAGACCTGGTCTTATTTTGGGGGAAATATAGTAACTCTATCTCCCCTGTTTGCTTCCCCTCAGCTCCTGAGTTACCCTAATAGCACAGATAGGATTCAGAGCTCCAACATGAGGAGAGAATTTCTTTCAGTTTTGAAAGTTGACAGTTACTCATGGTGGGATACAGAGTAGTGTCAAGACTTTTTCCAACCTAGCACTTATTGAAAGAGTTAATGGTATTCAAACACTTGAGACCCTTGCATGTAGTTACATCCTGCTCCCCAGTGTCAGCAGTCATTTCTGCAAATTTCTTCTTATGCCAAAGACTTGCACAGCTCCTAGGGGGCCCAGTTGTGCTCCAGTGAAGGATGGCAGACAGTGGTCCTCAAAATGCACCCCACGCTTCCCAGCCCCCACCCACCCTTGAGTAGAAGCAATGTCACCTACTAAAACAGACAGATCTTGCTGGCTAGATGCTTCGGGTACCAGATCTCGGCACCTTGAAAATTCTCCAAATATTCTGGGAGCCCTTGAGGTCTCCCTGGAGATCTCAGATACGTTTTCCCACCCCACCTCACTTCATTGGCTCTGTTCAGGCCCTTGCTCCTGCTGCTCTCAGAGATGCTGGGCCTCTCTATGAACTTCATCTCTCTCTCTCTCTCTCTCTCCCTCAAGGATGAAGAGGAGGAGCTATCACCCACATGTGAATTTTGTGGAAGCAATCTCCAGGCATTTCTTTCTAGTGTGGATTTCATTCACTCTGAATCAAAAGCATGTGTAAGTTCCAAAACAGGTTGGCTGAGGAAAGAGTGTTATTTTTTTAAACATTTGTAGTATTTACCCCTGCTTTTTTCCCCTAAACTGCCATTTTTTAAAACAAGGAAGTGCAACTCACAGCCACAATAGCAAGCCACTCCCCAGTCACTAGCATGGTCCTGATAATAACAAGTGTTGGCAAGGATGTAGAGAAATTACAACCCATGTGTACTGCTGAGCGGGAGTAGAAAATGGTAAGCTGCTTTGGAACACAGTCTTGCAGTTCCTTGAAATGTTAAGCATACAGTTACCACATGACCCAGTGATTCCATTACCAAGTTTATACCCGTGAAAATGGACAACAGGGCCAGGGGTTTAGCTCAGTGGTCCCACCGCCTGCCTTGCAAGTGCAAGGTCCTGAAATTGATCCCCAGGACCAAAAAAATAAAGAAAAGAAAATGGACAACATATGCCCACACAAAAACTTGTACACAAATATTCAGAGTGCATGAGTCTTAATAGACAAAAAGTGGTAAAACAAACCAATTGTCCATCAGCTGAAAAATGAATAAAATGAGGTATATCCATTGAGATATATTCAGCCGGAAAAGAATTCTTCAAATGTGCTACACATAGATGAACCCCGAAAACATGATGCTAAGTGAAAGAAGCCAATTATAAAGTACCACATGCACCTGGTTCCATTTATATGAACTGTAAAGAATAGGCAAATGGAGAGAAACAAGACCAGACTAATGGTTTCCGGAGGCCAGATGGAGCGGAGGTGACCGCTAATGGGCTACAGCTAAAATTGATTGTGGTGACAGTTACATAACTCTGAATATACTAAAAACCAATTACAAACATTTGAGTTATACTTTTTAAATGAGCAAATCATATAGTATGTGAATTACAACTTAATAAAGCCACAGACAGAAAAAAAAGTTACAGTAGACTGTTATACCAACCCCATTAGCTGTTTTGTTTTTTTTTTGGTCCCCTCTAATCATCTTCATCTAGGGCTGATGAGATGAAAATGACTTCTTTGTTTTTTCAGACTTCCTGTTGTCCTCGATTTCAAAATCTGATTGACTATATCTACGAAGAAAAACAAAAAATCAAAAGCTCTAAACCCGAATTAATTAGTATTAAGCCTCACGAAGCCCATGGCACTGAAGTTGATAGAATGAAGGCAAAAGAAAAAGCCCTGCGGAGGTAACATTAAGCCCTAGATATTGAAATTCAGATAGACCAACTTAATTGGAGAGCTTTTCATAAAACGAACTTTGTTAGCCAGGTGTGGTAGCACATGCCTTTCATCCTGACCCTCTGGGAGGCTGAGGCAGAAGAATCACTAGTCCAAGCCCAGCCTGGGCAACTTAGTGATTTAGGGAGATCCTGTCTTAAAATTTTTTAAATGCAAAGGGGTTAGGGTTCTTGGTCGGTGTGAAGTGCCTGGATTCGATCCTCTATATTGTGTGGGGGAATTTCTTTTTGTTGTTGTTGTTTGAGATAGGGTTTGCTTATGTCCCTTAAGTTGGATAATTGTGAAGTTGTGTCCCCTGTAAAGAGAGGAAAATTGGCCAAAGCAAACATGCAAGCCTATTACAATTTCTGATGGGTGTCATGAGATTCAAAAGTTCCTAGAAAATGTAGTAAACTCCTTGAATTAAAGTGGAATCTGCTAAACCCAAATTATTGGGGCAATTCAGGATTCCTATTTTGGGGAAATTTATCCATTGAATAGCATTGATAGCCACACACATCCCTTGATTAAAAGGTTGGTTTCACAAGCAATAACAGATAACAATAAAGGAGTAGCATTTGAGCAGTTGAAATGAGCATTGTTGCATACTGTTTGAGCTTCAACCACATTTCAGACTTCTGCATGATGTTTATGATTTTATAGAAAACAGGAGCGACAAATTGCCAAACATTCCACTGTGGTGCGAAATGAACAGATCAGTTTACCTACAGAAGGTGAGTTTATTGACACTAATGTTATAAACCAGCTGTAAAACATAAAAAAGAGCAGGTGTTTGACCAAAAGATAAAATTAGTGTATTTGAAAGTAATGTATTGAAATATTTTATTTTTAAGTAACATAAAACCTGCATCAATCAAAATGGCTCAAAAAAAAAATCAGGTGTTTCAGCCGTTTGACTCTTGGCATCTCAGTCTGCATCTCAGTGTCATTACATTAAAGTAAATCAGCAAATCTACAGAGCACTTACAGACAGCAGCAGGGAGCTTTCAGGTTTACTGCCTCTTGTTTTATGAAGTGCATACTACACTTTGTTTTCAAGCTTGAGTATGGAGTATCTGTTAAACAGCACACAACTTTCTCCACATATGGGCTGTGTCCACCCACTGCCCAATAGAGCTATCATATTGATATGGATGTTGACCCTTGATTTTAGAAGGACGAGTCCTGGATTTATATGCTTCCTTCTAGGTTATGTGATTCTGTATGAGCTAATCCTTCTGAGCATCAGGCTCTTTCTCTACCACTCAGAGCTATTCAGAAAGGAAGACATTTTTATAACTAAATCCTTAATATTGCATAACATTTCTTGATATTCAACTGTTTCTGGCTATGTAAACAAAGGGTCAAGGGCCGGGGATTTAGCTCAGTGGTTCGGTGGCCTGCCTTGCAAGCTCAAGAACCCGAATTCAATCCCCCGTACCAAAAAAATAAAACAACAACAACAACAAAAAAAACAAAGGGCCGAAAGATTCTACTTAATAAAAATTGCTGTTTTTCTTTTTAAATAAAAGAATATTCTTATTTTTAAACAAAAGTAGTTCCTCACTAACTTAATGAAGGCCTTCATTTTTTTCTTTCTTTAAAAAAAATGTCTAATAAATCTATGTGGGGTTTAAATTTTATTTTAGAAGAACGGTCTTAGAAAACTTAATACATTTTTGTGATCTTTTTCCTATTAGATTCAAAGAATTTCAGTACTATTTCTTATCAACTTTCTGTGGATATTCCAGAAAAAAAGCCAGCTGACGAGGAACCATTTTATTTCCAACTAATACAGAGTAACATGTCCACTGTTTGTTGTGATTCTATGAAAGCATGCGGAAAGGTAACTCACTTGTAATTTTTTATTTTCTCTTTTACAAAAATCAGTTTCATCTGAAATTATAAAAGCTTTCATGAAATGTGTCTATATGGCACCTTTAACTAGTTGGCATTTCAGTTTGTATTAGGCTTTGAAAAAATGTCTTCTAGATATTTCCAATAAAGTCTTTTGTCTTCAGATATGAGAGCTACACATTAGAGAACATTTGGAACCCTTAGAAAATTAAAAAGGGTCCGGGGATTTAGCTTAGTGGTTTGGTGGCCCGCCTTGCAAGCACAAGGACCTGAGTTCAATCCCCGATACCAAAAAAAAAAGAAAAGAAAAAAGAAGGGGAGTAATTACCAAATATCCAAACCACTTTCGTCAAAACATTAATAATGCAATATATTCTAGACTTGAACACTATGGTAGCAATATTCCATATGACTATTTAAATTTAAAATTTTTAAATTAAAATGAAGTAGAGTATAAAATATAATTCCTCAGTCATCTTAGCACAACTCAAGTCCTACATACACTTGTGTGGCCCATGGCTGCCATACTGTAGGACAGCTACAGAACATTCTTATTGTCTTCAAATGTTCTATCAGGTAGCACTGTCCTAGACTTTTTCCTTGCTCATTTATATATTTTAACGTGCTTATAATTGTATCTTACATGCAATTTTTCTCTTTTTAACTTAATTATAAAATTGTATTTTCTACACTATAGGTTACATTATTTTTATAGCAATGTGATTTTTCATATAAAGTATTTAACCATTTCTGTCATTAGACATAGATGCTATTAAATTTTTTCTATGCTAAACAGCATAGCTTTGGATAGCTTTGTGACTGTTTGTATCTAAGGATAGTTTCTCAGAACAAATTCCCCGAAATTAAATGACTAAAACCGGTTTGTTTCTCTTGAGTGATACAGAATCTCAGAGATAGCAATAATCTTACTCAAACACATTTTTTCTTTACTTTTCTTTTCTTTTCTTTCATCCCCCTTCCCACCTGGACCCCACAGTACTGAGGATTGAACCCAGCACCCCCCGTTTTGAGCACATTTGGCTTGAACTTGGGATCCCTCTTTGCTCCACCTCCTAGAGTGCTGAAATTACAGGCCTTTGCCACCAACTCAGCCCATAGGCATTTTTTTTTTTTTTGAGACAGGGTCTCACTATGTAGTTGAGACTGACCTGGAACTCACTATGTAGCTCAGGCTGGCCTCGAACTCACAGCGATCCTCCTGCTTCAAGCCTCCCGAGTGCTGGGATTACAGGCATGCGCCACCACACCCGGCCCATAGGCATTATTTTTTAAGTTTGATTACCAGAACACAGTGAAAAATAACAAAAACCCCAGAAAATTTGACACTATAACAGAAAACCTTGAAGAATAATGTCTAATAGGAAAAACACTACAAAACCTTGAAAATGAAGTAATCTAGCATGTTTATGACAATGAAATATCACCTTGAAAATATGTGGAGGAAAAATTTTTTAAAAAGAAAGATGGTCTGTAAGCCTTTGGATCACATGTGCAGAAAAATAAAATTTTCCAGACATAATTCGTACCAAAAAAGGAAAAAACATATATGGAAGAAATAGAAAAAAGTGATAGATTTGAAAGGAAAAAGAGAAATTTATAGAAATGAAAATTAGAACTGAAATAAAAACCTAAAAGAATAAGAGTATCTGAGACTTAACTAAAGAACTAGTACCCTGAAAGAAAGATTATTTTTTAATTTTAAAAAGGTAAGGGACACAAAAGAGAGTATATGATGAAAAGCTCTAAAATATATTTATTCAGAATACATAAAGAGTACAGAAAGATGATGAAACAGAGGTAATATTTAAAGAAATACTGGATGATAGTTTTCCAGATCTGATAAAAGAGACCAATCCAGGCCCTGAGGTGTTTTTATCCTCTCTCTCTCTCTCTCTCTCTCTCTCTGTTATTGGTACATTTTAGATATATGTAGTGATAATGTCCAACATAGGAAATTTGTAACTGTATATGATATATCTTGCTTCTTTTTCCCCCACCCCATCTTAGTATAAAAGCTTTGTTTCCATCCATTTTTTCTTCTATTCTTTTCTTTTTCTTGACCCCTCTTTCCTTTCCCCCTCCCCCAACTTTGTTCCCCATCTCATTTGAACATTTTCTTCCCATTTTCCAATGTCTGTTGTACGTTTTGGTCCCTACTTATACTTTTAGCTTCTCACACCAGAGAAATCATTTGATATTTACACGTGTGTTCGAGTATGGTCTCAAGGAGCACCCATTTAGTTAAACATGTCTCAAACTTTCCTATTACTCCATTATATATAAAAAAACCTTCCTTATGCATTCATTGGTTGATGGATATTTGGGTTGTTTCCAAGATTTAATCATTACCAACTGTGCCGCTGTAAATGTGGGTGTGCATATATTGCTGTGGTATGAAGCTGTTAGTTCTTTCAGAAAGGCAACAAGAAAGGGAATAGCTGAGTTGAATGGAGCCTGTAGTTTTAGTGTTTTGAGAATCTTCACACTGATTTCCACAGTGGTTGCACAAGTCTACACTCCCACCAAGAGTGGAGAGAGGTTCTTTTTTTCCCCACAGCCCCTCCAGCATTTGTTATTAGTTGTTTTCTTGATAATAGCCATTCTTTCTGGAGAGAGATGGAATCTCAGTGTTGTTTACATCTCTCAAATGACCATTTGAACGTTTTTCATATATTTATTTTCCATTTCTACTTCTTCCTCTGAGAGGTATCTGTTCATTTCAGATGCCCATTTTTGGATTGGATCTTTAAATTTGGAGGGGTCTGGGTTTTTCTGAGTTATTTATATATTCTAGAAATGAATCCTTTGTCTGAGGAACAGCTGGCAAAAGAAAAAAAAAAAATCCCACACTATGGGTTGCCTCTTCATTCTGTTGGTGGTTTTTTGTTGTTGTTGTTGTTGTTGTTTGGGTTTGGGGGGGATTTTTTGCTGCACTCATCTTTAAAAAGAGAGCCCAGTTGTTGATTCTTTGTAACATTTCCTGTACAGTTGGGGTTTTGTTCATAGTTTTGCCTACACCGATGTCTTCAAGAGTTCTATGTATTTTATCTTCCAGCAGATTATGTGTTTTTATTTTAATATTTACATCTTTGGTCCATTTTGATTTTAGTTTAGTCAATGGTGAAAGATTTGGGTCTAGTTTTAAACTTTGGTATGTGGAAAGCCAGTTATTCAAGTACCATTTATTAAAGAGACTGTCTTTCTTCCAGGGAAGGTGTTTGGCTTTTTGGTCAAAGATGAGGTGGTTGAGTATATCTGGAGTTCTTTCTGCATCTTCTAATCTGTTCCACTGATCCTTGGGTTTTTGTTTTTGTTTTTGTTTTTTTTTCCGGTCCCATGCTTTTTGTTTGTTTGTTTGTTTGTTTGTTTGTTTTTTTATCACAGTAGGTTTGTGGTATAATTTCAAGTCAGGGATTGTGATGTCTCTTGGCCTTGCCTTTGTTGCCCAGAACTGCTTTTGCTATTCTAGGTCTCTTCTGGTTCCAAATGAATTTTGGGATTGTTTTCTCTAATTCTGTGAGATACGCTGTTGGTATTTTAATCAGGGTGCATTCAATCTGTATAACAATTTTGGAAGTATGGCCATTTTCACTATATTGGTTCTTCCTACCCAAGAACAAGGAATATCTTTCCATTTTCTGATATCCTCTTCAATCTCCTATTCCAAGTACTATAGTTTTCAATGTAAAGGTCTTTTACTTCCTTTGTTAGATTGATTCCTAGGTATTTCTCCCTCCCCCCTTGTATGCTATTGTGTTGGGTTTTTTTTTGGTTTTTTTTGTTTTTGTACCAGAGATCGAGCTCAGGACCCTGTGCTTGCCAGGCAGACATGGTACCACTGAGCTAAGTCCCTGACCCTTGGGTGATACTGTGAAGGGTGTAGTTTCCCTTATTTCTGTCTCAGGGAGTTTGTTATTTGTGTACAGGGAATGCTGTTCATTTTTTAGTGTTGACTTTGTATCCAGCTTCTAGAAGTCTTCTGGTGGAATTTTTGGTGTCGTCTGTGTAGAGTAACATGTCATATGCAAATAATGATAATTTAACTTATTTTCCTATTCTATTCCTTTTATTTCTTTCTCTTGCTAATTGCTCTGGCTAATGTTTATAGAACTATATAGAATAAGAGTGGTGACAGTGAACATCCTTGTCTTGTTCTTGATTTTAGTGTGAAAGATTTCAGTTTGTCATAATTTAGTATGGTATTGGCTGTTGGTTTGTCATAGATGGATTTTATCAGATTGAGATAAATACTGTCTATTCCAATTTTCTGTAGGTTTTTTATCATGAATGGGTGTTGGTCTTTGTCAAAGCCTTTTTCTGCATCTATTGAGATGATCAAATGGTTTTTGTCCTTATAGTGTGTTACATTTGTTGATTTACATATGTTAAACCACCCCTGCATCCGTAGGATGAATCTTATTTGGTCATGCTGTGTGATCTTGAAGATTTGCTATATTCTTTTTGCCAGTATCTTATTGAGGATTTTTGCATCTATGTTCATTAAAGAGATTGGCCTGTAGTTCTTTTTTGGTTGGATCCTTCTCTGGTTTTAGTATCAAAGTAATGCTTGCTTCCAGGAGTGAATTTGGGAATATTACTTCCCTCTCCATTTCATTAAAGTGAAACATTGAAAGCATCAATTTCATTAAATTGAAAAGTATCAGCATAGGTTCTCTAAATTTCTTGTAAAATTCAGCAGCAATTCTGTCAGAGCCTGGGCTTTTCTTTGTGGTAGTTTTTTTGGGTTTTTTGTTTTGTTTTTGAAACAGGGTCTCAATATGTAGTTCAGTCTGACCTTGAATTCACTATGTATCCCAGGCTGTTCTCAAACTCACAACAATCCTCCTGCCTCAGCCTCCCAAATTCTGGGATTACAGGCATATGCCACCACACCCCGCTTCCTGTTGGTAGATTTTTAATTACACCTTTAATTTCACTGACTGATATTGGTTTATTTAGAAATTTTATGCCTTCTTGATTCAGCTTTGGTAATTCATATGTATCTAGGAATCTGTCCATTTCTTCTGTGTTTTCTATCTTATTAGAATGCAGGTTCTCAAAGTAGGAATCTATGATCTTCTGGATTTCTACAGGATCTTTTGTGATTTCTCTGTTTTCATTGCTGATTACATGGATTTGAGTCTTTCCTTTTTTTGATAAGGTTGGCTAAGGGTTTTTCATTTTTATTTACTCTTTCAAAGAACCAACTCTTTGATTCATTGATTTGTTGTATTTTTTTTTTAGTCCCCATTGCATTAATTTCTGCTCTGATCTTTATAATTTCCTCCCTTGCATGAGTTTTGTGCTTAACTTGCTCTTCTTTTGAGTTTCATTTGTCTATTTGGGCTCACTTTATTGTTCGTTTTTTACCACTATAAATTTCCCTGATAACTGCTTTCATTGTGTCCCATAAATTCTGGTATGTTGTATTGGCATTATCTTTTAATTATAGAAACTATCTAATTTCTCTTTAATCTGTGACCCATTGGTTATTTAAGAGGGTGTTATTTAATTTTCATTTGTTTATGAAGTTCTTGTAGTTTCTTTTGCCATTGATTATCATTTTCTGTGCACTATGGTCTGATAATATGCGTGGGATAATTTTAATTCCTTTGCATTTACTTAAGCATATTCTATGAGCTACTATGTGGTCTGTTTTAGAGACTGTCTCCTGAGCAGATAAGAATGTGTATTCTGGTATTGCAGGGTAGACAGAATACTCTATAGACATCTACTAAGTCCATTTGTTCAAAAGTTGTTCAGTTCTGATATTTCATTGTTAATTTTTGTCTAGTTGATCTATCTATTTGTGATGGTGGAATATTGATGCCTCCCATTACAATTATATTAGTGTTTATTTGATTTTTCATGTCTACTAATATTTATTTTGTGTAGCTGGGTGCATAAGCATTTGGTGCATATATATACATTTATAATTGTTATTTCTTTCTCTAGAGTTGTTTAATTTACAAGGATATAGTGAACTTCCTTGTCTCTCTTAATCAGTCTTGGATTGAAATCCACACTGTCTTAAAATAAAATAACTACCCCTGCTTTTTTCTGGGTTCTTGTCCCATAAAGAATTGTTTTCCATCCTTTGACTTTCAGTCTATGAATTTCTTTTTTAATTAAATGTATTTCTTGTATCCAGCATATTGTTGGATCTTGCTGCTTGATATATTCTGTCAGTCTCCTTTTTTCTTTTTTGATTGATGAATTGAGACCATTAACATTGATGGTTATAACGGTTATGTCTTGACTTTTCCTTATCATGTTATTTTCCTCTTGTTGGTTCACTTTCCCCCCACTCTGTTTAGTTGCTTGCCTTGCCTGGTGGATTCATTCTGTTGAGTTTCAGCCTAAAGGCTCCTTCCAGGCAAGGAGCATGGTGAGGCTATTAGTTAAACAAGACCAACCCAAGGATTAGCTTCTTTCTAACAACACTTCTAAAAAATTGATGTAATTAAATATAGCATATCATGACAATATGAGAAATCCAGATATGATTTTTCTCATTTTGTGACTTGATAAAAACCTATTAATAGTACATGTAAACTTGAAAAAGTATTTTTTTTAATGTAGAAGTATTAATCTTACTTTCTACAGCAGCTTTTATTTCTTGGAACTGAGACCTTTCATTTTATCTCAGGCCTGTCCATACCCTGAGAAAATCCTAACCAGTCTTAAGCCTATACAGACAGGCTCTTCACCAGTTTTCTACTTTTAAACCACTGTGCACTCAAGGATTTGATCTGTGGCAGCATGTGCGTGCGCACACACACACACACACACACACACACACACACACACACCCTAGACATAACGTGATGAAACTGCAGAAAACCAAAGACAAAAAAAACCTTGAGAGCAGTAGTAGGAAAAACAAGCTCACTTTATATTTAAAAGAGATCAGTAAGACTAGTATATGACCTCCCAACAGAAATCAGTAATACAAGCTACAAGGCAATGGAACAATTTCCATGTGGTAAAGGAAAATAATAGGCAATGTGGAATTCTACATCAAGTTAAATTTTATTTCAGGAAAGTATGCCAAAAAAAACAAAATTTACAGCTTTTCACTAATGGAATTCTAAAGAATATAATTTAGGGTCGGGGATTTGTCTCAGTGTTTCCACTGCCTGCCTCGCAAGCACAAGGGCCCAAATTTGATCCCCTGTACTACAAAAAAAAAAAGAATGTTCTTTGGTTGTTGCATAGTCTGAGATTCAAGAAAAATGAAGAGCAAAGAAAGAGGTATATGATATATATGGATAAAACTAAAATGGCTGATAGAGCAGTAATAATAGCTTGTGTGATCCCAAAAAACAGTAAAATAAAGAAATTCAATACAACAATAGGACAAGAATTGTGAAAAGTGCTAGATGCAATTAGAGTTGTTCCTCAGTATCTGTAGGAGGTTTGTTCTAGAGTCCACTGTGGATGCTTAAATCTCTTGTTCTAAAAAAATGGCACACAAAGGTTGAGTATCCCTTGGTGTTTGGAGTTTGAATTTTTAAATCTGGGAATATTTGCACATATAATCATATCTTGAGGATGGGGCCCATGTATAAACATGAAATTTATTTATGTTTCATATTTATTTTACACACATGGTATAGGTAATTTTATACAATATATTTAGTGCATGTGTTTTGATTATAATTCATCACATAAGGTCAGGTGTGGGACTGTCCACTTGTACTATTGTGTTGATGCTCAAAGAGTTTCAAAGAGTTTAAATTTTGCAGCATGTTCAACCTGTACTACCATAAACATATGAATATCTTCAGGAATATTTTCTATCATGCCTAGATTACATCTAATACCTACCGCAATGTAAATGCTATATAAATAGTTGTTTTAATGTATTGTTTAGTTAATAATAAGAAAAATGTATGTACTTGTTTGCTACAGATACAATTTTTTAAAACTATTTTCAATCTACAATTGATTGAATCCAAGAATACAGAACCCAAGGACACAGAACCCTGTCAGTATCCTGAAGTCCTTGGTTCAAGAGAAGGGGGAAAAATAGCTTCATGCTTTGATAAATTAAATTTTCTTGTTGACATTCCTAGGACAAAGAAAAAAGAAATCCTTAGGACTGTCTGAAAAATAATAGTAGAACAGAAGGTAAAACTTTCAAGCAAGAACTGGTGAAACAGAAAAATAGAATTTTTAAAAAATTCCTCCAAATGATAAGAAAACATGAGAGAAAAATAATATAGGGACAAGTAGAAAGCATCAAGGATTGCCAGTAATTGTACGCAAATAAATGAATGTGCCAATTAATACACAAAGACTATCAAAGTGGATTTTTTAAAAGGAAAGCAATCCAACTATGTCCCATCTATAATAGAAATAATTATACAAACATTAAATATAAATACTACAAAAGTATAAATTTTAAATGAATACGAATTACATATCATGAAATCACTACTACAATCAGATACTAACTGGGATGCATATGAATTTTACAATGTTGACGGAAAGAAGTGAGACATAAAAATATACAATGTATGATTCCATTTATGTGAGATTTTTAAAAGACAAAAATTATGCTGTTTAGAAACAACAAGAGTGTCGACAAAAGCAAAGGGATTCCTATGAAGTCAGAGGAGCGATGGAAAGGAAGAGTATTGATATTAGGACGGACCTTGGGCCGAGGGCTTCAAGAGTATCAGCAGTGCCCCGTATCTCCCCCGCGTCTCCCCACTGTTCCATAAGTCACCACCCAGTCATGCAGGTGTCTGCTTTATAATTATTCATTAGGGAAGCGCTTGATGGATATATTCCAGATTTCATAATTTTTCCATTATGGGACATTTCCAAAAAAGGCCAATATTTATGTGAAACCTTAGCTTGTTTTATTGTTTAGCTCTGGGAATTTCTATATCCACTTTAATTCAAGATTAGGAATTCATCAAATTAAATGAATGTTCAGGTCATGACAAAATATTGCAGAGTACAAATTCATCTCCACATTGAACTTTACAAATAAAATAGTTGAGCCTGGAGATGCATTAAGGAGCATCTTTCTGCATGTCTTTCCTCACCATCCCACGCTCCACTAGTGTGCTCAAATGACCTCCAAGAGCAGTCTTGAAGAGACACCAGCTACTGCAGCTTATTACTACCATATTCTTCTCCTTTCTAAAAGTCATCCCTTGAATGAAATGTCACCATTGTAAGTGTTTGGTTATAAGAATTTTGACAGAGTTAATGTGATCAGCACTACAATCAGGATGTAGAAAGCTGCCATTGCACTAGGTACAGTTTTTGTCTTTATGTTTATAGAAATATCTGTATAGAGTAAAAAATAAAAATTTCTAGCAGATATGTAACATGAATAGATATGTAATGTCAAAATTCCACCAGAAAGGTTTTATAAGTTATACTGCTGAGGCTGGGCATGGTAGTATTATGGCAATAATTCCATCACTCTGGAAGGCTGAGACGGGATGGTCCAAAGTTTAACCCCATTTTGGAAAATTTAACAAATTGCAAGACCCTGTCTCTAAAGGAAAAAAAAAAAGGTATACTTCAAGGGTTAGGGACAATCTCTAAGTGATTGCTAAAGACATCCCTTGTTGAGGCAGGGCCAAACATTTAGATTCAGGAAATTGTCATATCGCTGTTTCATAGACAACTGATGTCAGTTGTTATGTTTTTCTAATATAGTTAATGTTTTTGTCTAAAAAAATAACGTTAAATGTTCTGTTCTTTTCTCTGGAACATAGATTGTGAGGAATGAGCTCTTTGAGAAGCATTACAAAAACGGAATCAAGTTTCTGACTTCATTTCCAGATGGAACAACACAAATATTGTATCCTTGCTTTCAATGTTATTTTTATTGGCTTTATTTGCTCAGAAAGAAAAAGAAAGAGACATGAGAGTAAAAACAGAAAATTATAGACAAGTATTACCCCTAAAACTCTACCACTCAGAGAAAAACTGGTATATTTTAAAATAAATTTTTCCCTACTTTGAACTATAAATCCTGACTAGAAAACAGTTGTCTCTTTTATTTATCTTGGTCAGCATTAATATCAGGAGTCAGTATCATATTTTATGTATCTTGTAAGTGATGAACTATCATTTTTTTTTTTTAAGTTTACTGGAGACAGGGTCTAGCTGTGTGGGCCAGACTGGCCTTAAACTCATGGCAGTCTTCCTGCCTCAGCCTCCCAAGTGCTAGGATTATAGGCAAGGTACCTGCCCAGCTTGGCCTACCATCTTGTTTTTGTTTGTTTGTTTTAAAATTCATTTTATTGGTACATTTTAGGTATACAATATGCTGACATTCATTATTGGGAATTTGTACCTTTACATGATATATCTTGGTTCTTATTTTTTCCCCATTCCCCTGCCCTCCCTTCAACCCCTCCACACCTCCCTATTGACTGCTTAGGTGGTCTTTTTTTTTGGTACCGGGGATTGAACTCAGGTCCTTGCGCTTGCAAGGCAGGCCACCAAACCACTGAGCTAAATCACTGGCCCTAGGTGGTCTTTTAGAAGTCACACTTTTGTAGAATGTTAGCAGACAATAGTACAAAGTTTTGCAAGGAAAATTTTAAATTAAGAGCAAACATAGCATTTTAGAATAACAGTTATGATGACTAGAACTACTTGATTCTTTTTATTATCTCTAAAACTACATTTAAATTCCTATTTTAGTATAAAATAACATCAGTAACAGGTTACCCTCATGTTTGAAGTCTGCTAAGACTTCTTACTCTGAAAAGGTGTTGGAATATGTCAAATGCTTTGTGCTGGTTGAGATAATCATGTTTTTTGCTCTTTATTCTATTAATATGTAGACCACAGGGATTAATTTTTGGATAGTAAACCAATCTTGTATTCCTGGGATAAACCCCATTTTATCATAGTCCACAGTCCTCTTCATATATTGCTAGATTATTTTGGTATTACTTTATTGAGGATTTTTACATCTCATAAATATATGTTGATTGACACAAAAATTACAGGGTCCATTTTTTAAGAATAACCCCCATTTTCAGAATGTTTTATAATTTAAGTGAGCTCTCATAAATTAAATTCATTTTCAGGTTAGTCAAGGACCATTAGAACAACTCACATGACCTTATCTGATCTAAGCTATCCATCTGGAAATCTAGCCATCATCCGAGTGCCCAACAAGATAAATGGTTTCATTTGTATAGTCCAGGAAGACACACCCACTAATCCTGCCATCCTGGCAGTTCTGGATTCTGCTGGCCAAATTTCCTGCTACCATCCCAATGGAAAAGTCTGGTAGGCTTCTAAGTTCCTTTGGTTGCCATTATTGTTCTTTTGTTGGCTTTGTGGGCTTTTCATCTTTCCTGGGCCTTGCAGTGCTAGAGAGTTGCAAGTTCAAGGTCAGATTGGGCTGCGTAGCAAGTTCAAGGCCTAGACCACGTAACAAAACCTTGCCTCAAAAAAATCAGAGAAGGGAGAGAGGGAAGAAAGAAGGGAAGAGAGGAAGGAAGGGAGGGATGGAGGGAGGGGAAGAGAAAGGAAAGAAGGGAGAGAAAGAAAGGAGAGATCTGAATACCACTTTGATCTACTGATGCATATACTGTATGGCTTCATAGTTTTTAATAGCCTGACAAAGTGAAATTTGGGTTTTAAATTCAAATATAATTTAAACTTCTTGAGAATTCATAAATAAATATTTTATATCTTTATAGATATAACAACTTTAGTAACATCTGCCAATAATTGGCAAAGTTTGGGCACTGCCAGTACTTGAGAAAATTGGGACACAGTAACTCTTTTTTTTTTTTGGTGCCGTGGTTGAACGCCAGACCTTGCGCTTAACGAGGCAGGTGGCAGAACCACTGAGCTAAATCCTTGGCCCCACAGTGAGCTATTTTTAATCCATAGCAGTAATCAGTCCATGACCACCGTGTATACTGGAAATTTTCCATTTATCTTTCAGGATTCAATAGTAATTTTATGTTACATTTTGTGGCATGCTAAAATTACTGTCAGCCATATGAACTAGTTTCATAGAGCCGCTGACTCACAAACTGAAACACTGGCACTCTGACTTGTCTTTGATATTCCCATGACCACTTCTGTCTTGGATAGCATGTCCGCTGCTCTCCTGCTGGACTTGAGCTCCTTGGAGGGATAGCCTGCATTTTTGTCATTCTATGGCAGTCTATGCATGGTTGAGACTCAGAGAGTGCTTACTAAATAAATAAAGGACTGATTTATTCAGATGTTAGCCAAATATTACTTTTATTTATGTTTCAAGATAAAAACAGATCTCCTTTCCAAATCCAGTAAGATAATCACCTCCGTTTTTCACTTGTGCTTTTGCTTAGATTACTACCACTAATCAATACTGGAGAAGTGACATATTAGTTATCTTCTCTCAGGCAATTCATAGTAGTTTTTTTAAGAAAAATCCTTATCAAATTAAGCCTACTTTGTAAGTGTTCAGGACTCTTCTCAAGGTGGGGATGATGATCCCAGTTGGAAGACGGTATGGGCATGGAAGTGGGTGATGGGATACAAGGACACGGTCATTAATGCCACCAGCTGTTACGAGTGTGTACGGCTAGCGCTGTATGTAATGCGGTAAATGTGGGGCTCTGGCAGTGCTGCGACTGGAGAGGCCTAGTGGGTGATGTCCCACTGCCATGCGGTGCAGAGCTCTTTCCCAGGCCTCTTCTGCCACACCAAGCCCCGATGGGACATCTGCACGGAGGACACCTGGCTCACAGCTGGTGGGCACCATCAGAAAGCAGCTTTCCTGTACTGAGGTCAATGTAGGCTTCCCCAGAATGTGTTCCCCTCTTTCAGGAACAGCTTCCTTTCATGGGTCCATCCCCTATTTCCCTAATAAAGCCACCCCTGCTCCGTCTTTGTCCCAGCTACTCTGTGTACCCACTTTATCAGTGTGGTGCCAACTTTGATCCAGTACTTCAAACTAGTGTAGAAGTCCATCCTCGTGTTTTCATGCCTAAGGGGTCCACCACTCATATACTGTTGAGTACATGAACTGTTACTGCCTTAGTTAGCAAATGACAGGGCCCATTCCAACACTGAATCATGGTGTTACAGTTTATAACTTTTCGTTTCCTTCCAGGGTATGCATCAACGTCTTGGGAGGTCAATATTCAGATCAAGCTGGAAATAGAGTAAGAGCTTGGAATTGGTCAAGTTCCATCACTTCTTCACCCCTTGTTTCATTTAAACCTGTCTTCTTAGCTTTGAACCATAATATTGGGATTCGCATCTTAGAGCAAGACAAGATTTCCATCACTTTTCTAGCAGTGGGCCAACAGGCAACAATCAGTGTTGGAACCAAAGTGAAGGTAGGCACATGATTAATATACTGGAAAGCATTTAAATTAATAACAGTAAAATAACTTTTGTTAATATTATTACTAATATATTATGCACCTGCACCATGTACGGTCCACCAAGAATTTTGGAATTCAAGGAAAAATGCACAGTGAAAGTTTCATATCAAATCAAAGCAGGCTTACTGTTTCTTTTCTCCTGAAACTCCTTTTAATTCAGACTTGGATCCAAATGCCACAGGAGTGTTTACTTTGTGATTGAGTTGCTTTGGAGGTTTTACGACTTGTATTATGTTCATTTTCCCCTGCTTTCCCATATTTTCTCTGCTGTGGCAGAAAAGCTCTGGGCTGGGATAGGTGGCATGGGTTTTAATCAGGTTGAAGCCTAAGCCTAAGCTGCCCCTCCTTGGAGACCCTTCCCAGAGCTCGAAACACACCTAGCCAGCAACAAGCACATCAGTCTGAATTCTCCACCAGGTTGCTCCAGTCCTTGTGTTTATTGAGTCAGCCTGCCTTTATTACAGGATGGTGAGCTCCTGGGGGGTGGGAGACATCCTTCTTCCTGTCTTCTTGACTCTGATCCCTAGTGCCTGGCTAAGGGCACAGCTCTGTATGCTCAGTGGCCGGCAGTAATGCACAATGGTTAAGGACAGAGGCTTCAAATTACAGCCTCTAGTTTCAAACTTAAGCTCTGACACTCTCAACTAAGGAAGTGAATTTGAATTACAGTTTCTCATACATAAAACAGGATAATGACTCCAACCTCACACTTGTTGTGAACATTCAATGAGAGCAAAGTGCTAAGTCTGATACTTGACATTGAATACTCAGTAAACAGTAACTAGATATAGCGATATACATTGAGATTTGTGTATATATATACAGATATAACATATAGAATGACTTTAAATACATTCCCCTCAACTCTGAGGACCTTTGTTTAGAGGAAGACGTTCCTGCAAACTTCAAGGGTATCTTCAACTTCTAGAAACCTATATTTTTAAGTATGTGGAAATATAACCTCAATATTCAGCACAGTAGAACAGCCCAGGGACAGCAAACAAAAGGGAGATGTCAGGTTCAAACAACAAAAGTAAGGGTCTATAATGTATTATTCTAGCTACTTTCAGTCAGTTTGGCTACTATCATGAGGTGTTTAGGCTCCAGACAAGATTCAACTTTCTTCCTAGGTTAGAAATTTACAGTATAATCTCCTTTTGGTATATTACATCCATGGTAAATACATATATCTTCTCTTTTTCTCTCTCCCTGTCTCCCTTTCCCTCTCCCTCTTCACATTAAAAAGTTTTTATTAGTATTCATCATCAAAGAATTAAAAACATATTACAGTGATACATGCGTCTCCATGTTTGTAGCAACACGGTTCATAAAAGCTAATTCTCAGAGGCAGCCTATATGTCTCTCATTTCTCTGAGCACTTGCATCTGCTCTTGAGTGCTTTGGATATCTACTGCTAAAAAATCTTTCTCATGTCTCTCTGACTGATGCATTCTGAAAATTCTTTTTCTGAGATGGGAGTCAGCAAACCTGCAAACTTATTTTAAAAGGGTGGGTTAAGTTCCTTATTTTAGTCTCAGGGACCCTCAGACCTGGCCCAGTGACACGTATCTTGCTGACCACAAAGAGACCAGGAGGCTGCAGAGATCTGGACTTTGGTTTGATCAGTCAGGTTGAGGCTTTCAGTCCTGGCTAGATGAGATGAATGCCCCTCCTCAGGCGGAAGCAGTTACTGAAGATGGACGGTCAGCCTGCTCTGGCGAGGGGTCAGGGGAGCCCGGAAAAGAGCTGCATTAGAGACAGCAAGCATATCTCCACTGCATGGTAACCTGGTAGACAGTGAGAGTAGACCTCCCAGATCGCTTATCTTGAAGACGGCCTTTAAATGTGCCTTACTCTGGCTTGTAATGTGCCTCCTTTCCCTGGACACCCTCGCTGTACTCTTGAGTGTGACCTCTATCTACCTCTAATAAATCCTTCTCTTGTCTCTTTTAAAAAAAGAATGGATAATGAAAATGTGCTAGTTATACATTGTGGAGAACTACTCTGCAATAAAGAAGGATAAATCTGAGTCATTCGTAGGAAAATGGCTGCACCTTGAGACAATAACGTTAAGTGAAATAAAGCAGACACACAAGCTTAAATATTACATGGATTTTCTATATGAGAAACCCAAGTATAAATTATTTAAAGATCAAAATAAAAGATAAATAATAGGACATAAGGAGATAAATCTTTTGCAAAGGGACAGGGGACCACAAGACAGAAGGAGGGAGAAGGAAGGGAAAGGAGAAGCAAAAAGAATTCAGGTGTGTTATGTACAGGTACTACCTCTCCACGTTGACTCTGAGCTTCCCTTTCCTTTCTCTTTGCTGTAAAGATACCCCACCCCGAGGAGGTTCCAGTCCTCTGGTACCTGAGTGGAGAGGACCTTCTGCTGCTGGCCACTTTAATAAAGATTCGACGCCTGTTTCATAAACTAGATGGATGTGTGAATTTTCCCTCAAGCCAGATTTGGGAAAAATTAAAGCAGCCGTCTTACCTTTCTTCACTTTCTCTAAAACTAATTGCCCTCTGTCAGAATTCTGGAATAAAGGAAGATAAACTTAGAACAATTACAGATATAGTAAATGAAAACATTTAAAAAGAATGATGATGCTTCCATTTACTAAGGGTTGGTTTTTCTTTTTTTGTGTGCGTATAGGGGGATCAGACAGGTGGTTTTTTTGTTTTTTGTTTGTTGGGGTTTATTTGCTTTAGTGTTCCAAATAACCAGGAAATACCAAGAAATACACTGTTTTATAAATTTAGAAGACATCCTGAGTCATGGTTGGCTTACCTTCTTGGTTGGAAAAATAAATAGCTGCTTACTAGGAAATGAGCAAATCAGCCAGGTGTTGGAGGACAGAGAGCAGAGCAGGAATCGTGCTGACCAGTCCCCTGGAAGCCTAGGTGTGCTGGCCTTCAGGAGAGCCAGAGGGAAGGAGGTTCAGAAAGCCACAAAGTCACCAATGATGGTCTTTGCCACCACCCCACTCACATGAAGATTGGCAGGGAATCTTCCGGAAGTTGGTGCAGCAACCATAACCATCATGGAGGAAATGCAAGAAACCACCACACTCCTGAGTGTCCTCATCCTCCTGCCAAAGAGGAACAAAGACTCCTGCTCCTCACCTATTTTGCACACTTCAGACATGTGCCTCTCACTGGGGAATCGTGTGGGAAGCAACTGGTGAAGTGGAAGAAAATTATGCTATTCCCCCACTTCCTGTGTTACGGCGGAGGAGGAAGAATAGTGCTGAACACACTCAATCAGGTTGATCTAGAACAGAGAGCAGAGCTGTACATGAGGTGTACCTGAGCTGTACAGCTGCTAAATGTCCTGGGTCTTAGTTCTCTGTCCTCTCAGAGAGGAAGAGATGCGGTTTCAAGGGACATTCCTAAATTCCAAGCTTGGTACTAATGTGTAACCACAGAGATTAAACCTACCCGCCATTCATAATACTAAATCAGTTATTTTCCTAACAGAGCTAAATGGAAGAGAAAACACTAAATGGAAGCACGGGGTATTCCAGGGGGCAACACTGCTAGGAGAAACGAGATCTCATTCTTATTGTTAACCCAGCAACCACCTCCTTACCATCCCCTCATGCCTCTAGTGACTCTGCTTTGTAGGAACTTTGTTAATACTGAGGGTAGTTCTATTCTTTTTTATTTCCTTTCTTGCTAATCCCGATTTCTATCTTTGTGAGAAAGAAGCTCTAGAACTCGTATCTTAATTAATGCTAAATGTCTTTTGGGGGGCTTAGCTTTCTCTTTCTCATTGTTGAAAGAACTTCCAGTTTCCATCAAGTAAAACAGATATATTTAATTGATTGAACTAGTATATATCAGTATAGCTCTAAAAAATAGCACAACAAAACCCTAACTGAAATTTTTCTTTTTACATCAATAAAAACTACTTTTAGGGTGCTGCCCATAAGAAAGTTTTGAATTAGATCTGAATGAAGTCTTTTTTTGTGGGGGTACTGGGGAGTGAACTCAGGACCTTGTGCTTGTGAGGCAGGCAGTGGCACCACTGAGCTCAATCCCCGGCCCCTGAATTAGGTCTTAATTAGTTGAGATTAGTAGAATAATGGGATGGTATCTTTTACCAAGTTCCTTCACATTTAATGCCAGGATGTTACTTTGAGTTATCTTTATGTTAATAAATTATAATTTGTCATATGTGATAAAGGATATATGTTGCTTCTTTAAAATTTTATTAAAAATAAAAATGTTCCACAAAGGGAAAATATGGATGGCACTCAGCTTACACTAGTCCAATGTAATGATTTTTCAGGTTTGTGGTGGTACAAAAACAATAAACGTTCAGTAGACGCTGCACTCTGAAGTTTGAATTTTGATTTTTTTTTCCTGCACTAGCAGTAAGCAGTACAGTACTCTTTGAAAATGCTGGGAAGTGGCTAGTGAACTGCAGCTGCCGAGTCAGCCTCCTAAGCACCAACGTCCACAACCGTGTGCACAGTGGACTGGGTTGCCAGCATTTCAGGGTATTGTGTTTTGTATTTTCACATCTCATTGTGTCAACAAAAGTCCATCTGTGTGTACATGTAAGCTATTCAACATTTTATCATAAAATAGGCTTTGTGTTGGATTTTGCCCAACTATGGGCTTACAAATGGTCCTGAGTATATTTAAGTTAGGCTGGGTTAAGCTCTGCTGTTTGGTAGGTTATGTGTGTTAAATGCATTGCTGACTTAAAATGGCTTCAACTTATGATGGGTTTGACTTTGATATAAATCAAGGATCATCTACACATCTTCACTACTGATGTCATATTTCAAAGGACTTTATTAAAAATAATAATCTTATTTTGAGCACCTACTTATATCAAAAGTGAATTTGGTATGCTTTAAATTTTACATATCAATATCTGTTTTTCCATATGTTTATTTTAAGTAATCTCAATTTTTAATAAAACCCTCTCCAACAACAAAAAAAATCCTCTCCAACAAATGTAAACTCTAACTATAAAGTTGCCATATAGTAATATTACATTAATTGAGAGAAAAGTGCATAGATTTTTCCTGATATAAATGTTAAATTACTGATGCACTTAAAGCTTAAAGACATAGTATGAACCACTATCTCTTTTCATTCCTGATCTCAGGAATATGAATTATTATTTTGTTATATTTAATTGATACTTTTTTGGACAGAAAAAAATGATCATCCTATGAGAAAACAGAAATGCATTTCAATGTAACTGGTGGGTAAAGAAATTAAGACTAGTGCCAGGGATGTAGCTCAGGGGTTCCACCACCCGCCTTGCAAGCACAAGGTCCTGAGTTCAATCCCCAGTACCAAAAGGAAAAAAAAAATGAAATTAAGACTTTTTGCTTCAGGTAAATAGGGCAGCAAAGTGTGTTTGGCAAAGCTATGCAGGGATTAAGATGTCAGAAACACCTCCAGAGTATTCACCTCTACGGATCTCTTACAATATATGGGCACAAGTAATCTAGATTATACTTTGTTGGTAGCTTTTCTTGCTCACAAAATTTGCCAACTCATTATAGAAAATTTGGAGATTATAGGAACATACAGAGGTTTTAAAAGCACTCATAATCCTATCATACAGGGATAGCCATCTTTGTGCTCTGTTTCTGTCCAGTCCTTTTTTCATGTTTGTGTTTCTGTGTGGGTGTCGTGTTCTTTTTAGTTTCAAGCAGAGGAATCAGACATTGCCAATAAGAATTTTCAAAAACAGGAAGTAAACTGAATTTGTACTCCCAGAGACAGTGGTTATTCAAATGATCTTCAGGACACAAATGCCCAGATAATGAGTAAATGAGTATATCCTCAGTCCCTGAGGAACTGCTCACACCAGTGCCAGAGACAACACAGGCCAAAAAGCTCCATCCTTGACCAAGCACTTGCAGAAACCACAGTGACCTCCAAGGGGATGGAGAGTAAACGGATGGACTCACAGGCAATCCAGCCACTGAGGGAAAGAGCCTGGCTTTAATCCAGTGAGAAAGGTTCAGCTATAGATAGACCAATGCATGAGATCGTGGGACATCACAGGAGACAGACTGCCCTGGAGAAACCCACTGTTTAGGGTTCTATCAAAATCCTCTGCATTTGCGCTAATCTATGCACCAAGGCTGAACAATATGCTTGGATGGTGAATGTTGGAGAAGTAACAGGAAAGGGTAATGTGTTTGCCTTGCAGAGAAGACATCAATGTGTATATTCATAGACTCAATACAAATTTAGCATATGCCAGGCACTTTTTTTTTGAGACAGGATTTCCTTATGTAGTTTAGGCTCGCTGTGAACTCATTGTGTATTCTAGGCTGCCCTCAAACTTGTGGTGATCCTCCTGCCTCAGCCTCCCAAGTCTGGGATCATAGGCATGCCCCACCATGCCCTGTGTTTGTAAAAGCAAAAGAACAAAATGCCCATCAACAGAGGAGGATAACTGCACTGGGATGCAGCAGGTAAATCAATGAACTAGAATTACCTGCATTAACATGAACAACTGAAAAAAATCTTCACTTTGAATGGAAAAAAAAAACAAAGAAATACACTCAATACCATTCTCTGTATGTGAAGTTGTAAAGCATGCAAAATGTTCCCCCAGATCATGGAGGTAGATAAACCTCTGCAGGAAAAGTACAGTGAAATGCACCGGAGTGCTCACGCCGAGTTTTAGGCTGGCACTTCGCAGTGGAAGGTATATGATGGGGCAGGGGCCTCTGACTATTTCCTAAGGTGCTAGTTTGTGGGTCTTTATTAAGTATCCATTCTATATTTTTGATATCAAAAATTATTTTCTTTTTTTTACATAACTAGCCAGAAGCATAAAAAGGATGTTAGACGCCATTGTATGTCAGCAGAGGTTTTTGCCAAATTCTTCTTTTTTCTTTTTCTTTTTCTTTTTGAGACAGGACCTCACTATTCACGATGAGTTCAGGCTGGCTTTGAATTCACTATGTAGCCAAGGCTGGCCTCAAACTAGCTGTGATCCTCTTACCTCAGCCTCCTAAATGCTGGCGTTATGGTGCTGGGTGTCACCAAGCCCAGCTGAATTCTTGAAAGTAGAGGAGTAGCAAACCAAGCTACCAAGGTTGAACTTAGAAATTTATTTTTTCCTATCCAAAGAACTAGTGAACTTCCTTTAATACAAAATATATTCATAGCTTTTTAAACTCTGTCTTGATTCTTCAGAGCCAGACACGGTGACCATAATCCTAAACACTCAGGAGACTGAGGCAGGATTCCTGAAAGTTTGAGACCAGCCTAAACTCTACAGTGTGTTCAAGTTCAGCCCGAACTACATAGCAAGGCCTTGTCGCAAAAAAAAAGAAAAAGAAAAATCTCCAGAGATAGAGATCAGATTCAGACTTTTACATGAATAACCTACCCAAGTTTACCTAATTTGGATTATCTGGAATGCATACACATAGCACTCTTCCGTTTTCCTATGTCTGCACTACCAGTATCTATGTCTTCCCCAATACCAAAATCAGTCAGGGATACTACACATTTCCAAGTTCGGTATTGACAACCCATTCTCTGGTAGCATTCAACAGAGATGGAAAAATATAACACAATTCCCAATTCCAATGATGTTTTGGGAAATCCTCTGTTATAAAAAGTGATTGTCATTTTCTTCCTGGCTCA